CGCTATCATCCCAGAACACTGCCAACTAGAGGGGCAACTATAAGTAGTGCCATGTATACATAGCTGACTTTCAATTTAAGATCGGTTAGTCAAGGGGACATGTTGATTCCGTGCTGATAAATTATCAGTTGCTCTGTCTATAAGAGAGACCTACGGAATATGTAATAGTGAGAATGAGAAAGCCCATGGTAACTAGGAATGTTCGAATTTCACAAAAACTAATCGACGAGATGCTGTATAATTCTATTAAATTCATCAAGAGGAGGACATTCAAAATGAATAAAATGCTATGCCAAAATCATTGTAGGCTGGGTTTGAACAGTAGGAGTGTAACGTGGGGAAATAAATGTAACGAGGTGAACTTGAAGAGGGAGTGATTGAAATGTCACGAGATGCATGTGAAATAACCGGTTTCTACAGAAGAATAGGGGTTGGGGGTGAAATTGGAAGGCGGTTTCTGGTGTGTTATTGAGTGGTTGAGGGTCTTAGAAGAAAAAAAAAAAAAAAAAAAAAAAAAAAAAAAAACTAACGACCACCAAACCACCAAAACTATCATACCATACATAATCTATGTCCCAATCATGCAGCAGATACCTCCAAAGGAAAAAAAAAATTAGTAGGGCATTATGGCGAAGCCAGCCATAGCAGAAGTATACTAAACACTGGCTCCTCATTGAGTACGGATCCGCTGAAACTCCCGCAAACCTACTGTTTAGCGCGGGCTAGCCTCGAACCCGCGACCAGGGTCACGGTAGGATGACCACAAGTGGCCACTTGAGGGGGACTATTGGAACCTTGAAGTGCCAGGTACGACTGTGTCAAGTACCCCTCTTAACCAGTGCGCCACAGCCCCCTTCCTCGTTGTTTGGTAGGGACTTTTCGAACATATTTAACTCTTTGTATGGAGAGAATGGTGAATGAAGCGGCTAGACTATTTGGGAAAGGCCCACTGTTGCCTGGTCGCATGGGTGGGTTGGTCGTCCGGTTCGAAAAGTGAGGGGCTGGGTTATTGGTGGTCGTCTTCACCCTTTTGCGCGGCGAGTTTCAACCAGTTCCTGGCGATATCTGTCACTATGTTGCTTGGGGCTATGGAGTTATATTGCCTATTACGGAAACAGTACGAATCGTGTTTTTTCAGCTCCCAGGAGAAATTGAGATCTAATAACCGTGTTCCACAAACCCAAGCAACAGAGGTGGATACGATACTGCTGTGGACACCGCGCTGTAGCCGCGGGGTTATTTTTTTTTAATATCGGAGCATTATTAGTTGAAAATACTAAATACTAGTAGATATTGATATATCATTGACTTCCCCTGAAATGGAATAAGTAGTACGGTATAGGGAATAGCAAGTGACGAAGCTTTCAAGGCATAGTTCTTGAAATGAAATAATTTGGAAGCAAATAGCGGGTCAACAAGATTGCTAGATAGTGATTAAGAAAAGACGGCAATCCCGTAGAATCGCGAAGACAAGAGTTTGCAGTTTCTTTCATTAATTCATTCCTCAAAAACCTGAAGCCGAGAAGCAAGAAGAACTTTCATTCAATTAAATAAAATCTTAGGGACGCACATAAACTAAAAGAAATTGTCCATAATAGTATGTATGTTGTCTCAGTATGTTACGCTGATAGATAGACTTCCAGTCGTGATATCTCATTGATGTTGATGTTGTTGACATAAAGTTTTCCCCGGCCCAAGCCTCCCTCAATAGGTAGTCAGAGTAACTAGCTTTT